ATGCGAGCGCAAGCAACGCCGGCGCCTAAGGCACTCACTCGCCCAGGACAGGCCATGCTCAAGACCTAGCGGCGTTCGGCGGCCGCGCTACCGAAAATCGCAAAAAGGCTGGTGACTGGCAGAAGCCAGCATGGACGCGCTGTCTTGACATCGAGAAGATGGAGCGCCAAGCACTCGCCATGGCGCACTTCGTCGCGTCGCCAAGCGAAGACGGACCTGAGGCAGGGTTCCCCGCGGCGTCCAGCGACGCCAAGCGCGCGGGCAGTCCGGTCCTGGCCTCACCCGGCCCCTCGCATGCGCGCTCGCGCGCGCCTTGTCCGCCACCCGCTCATGCCCGCGCTGCGGTTCTGCGTCCGTTTCTCTGCATGGCATTGGGCGCATGCGGGCCCGCTTGGCGTCGCGGGCCCGCTGGGGCAGCGCGTCGGCCTCAGCACCTGGGACCGCGGCGTCGGGCATGGTACCCACGTGCTTCGGCCGGTGCCAGCATCGGCTGAGGTGGCAAAGTGGCGATTGGCCGCGGCCTCACCCAACGTCGATTGGGCGCAAGACCCCCCTCTCGGGTGGCATCGCTGGCGAACGTCGCCGCGCTGGAGACTTCTGGGACGGTAACACCACGTTGTTTGTCACTGCAAATTGCAAGTCGTAAGTCGACTGACGCGGGGGGGCGCGCCCCGCCAGCGTCGGAACGCGCGACGGCGGGCGGCTGCATGAACGCCCGCCCCACGCCGCCGCTCCGTCGCGCGGGCCAGGCCCCCGCGCGGGCTTGCTGGCACGCCGCGCGGCGGCGCGCCGGGCCCCCCTCGCCCGCCCCCTCTCCGCGCACGGTGGCGATGTCTCCGGACTGCCGCCTGGCCGCGGGGTGGGATATCAAGCGCCCAGGGCATGTCTGCGGCGCCCTGCCTGCCCATAGCCGCAGTCCGGGGTAGGGCGCCCGCCCAGGGCGTTGTCCGCTGCTTGCCGCGGCGCAACTATGGTCCACGCCGGTTGCCGTCAGCCGGCGCGTCCATTCGCCGGGGCGCATCGGGCGCAACCGCGATCGCAGTTCGTTTCCCTCCAACCCACCACCCTCGATGGGGGGCATGGTACCCATGTGCTTCGGCCGGCGCCTTGACGCGCCAACCGCCAACGTCGGCTGACGTGGCGGATTGGCGATTCGGCTAGGGGGCGTCCGGCCGCGGTCTCACCAACCGTCGATTGAGTGCCGTTCTTTACTTTGGGTGGCATCACTGTCAAGCGTCGCCACGCTGGAGACTTATAACGCTTCAGGGACTTCTCGCATGCCTTCTCCAAAAGCCCCTGGAGTTAGAAGCGAAAGCGGGGTATGAACTCGCTGGGGCCCCAGAAAACCTCTCAGGAAGGGGGATGAAGCGAAATTCGCTCAAAATAAATCCCGGGACCCCTTCAAATTTCCATGTGCTTCAGTTTGTCACTCCAGATCCGTTTCGGGGGCCCGAAAACGGCCCCCTGAGGACGAAAAAAACAATAACCCCCAAAAAAATCTCGAATCCAGCACCTCGAACCTGCCCGCCCATCCTGCTGGCAACAACCTGTGCTGGGCCACCTAAAACACCCAGCTGGTTCCAGCCCTGGAGCGTGTTTCGAAACACACATGTCCAAGAAGCCCTCTAACGGCTCCGGGGCCAGCCCTTGGGACCTCTTGGAGCCTCTTGGGCTGTCTTGGAGGCCCCAGGGGACCAGTCTAGGAGGCCAAAATCGTCCAAATCGCTCAGGTCGAATAGGACTATCACATGATCTACTTTCTGGTCTTCAATGCGTCCAAGACGGCCCAAGAGGCCCCCAAAATGGCCCCAAGAGGGGCCCAGGAGTGGGAACGCAAAGAAGCCCCAAGATTTCCCCAGCGGCCCAGGAGACGTTTCCAAGAGGTTTGGAGGGGACCTCCAAGAGGCGTCCAAGAGGGCCCAAGAGGTTAGGCCTCCCAAGAAACCCCAAGATGCCTCTAAGAGGCCTCCTGTCCACGACCCAAGCACGGTGGCGGGATGGGCAGCAGGTCACTGCATATTCGCGTGAAGAGACAGATTGGCTTGGACTCGCATTCAGCACTGAGTCCAGGACCAGAAACGACAGGAAAATTTCAATAGCGGTTTGTCTACCGGGCCAGCTGGGGCGCCGCACGGAGCGCGACGTGCACGCGCCTCGCGCGCGCCTCGCCCGCTGGAAGTGCGAGGACGCGGAGAGCCAAGGAAACGAGGCGAGGAGGCGCAGGCAGGGGGCTAAGGCGCCAACGCGGGGGTGTCGCGCGTGTGCTTCGAAGAAGGCGGCGGGACTTGTATGAAGGGGGAGGGCTTCCTGGAAGCCCGCCAGGCTTCTGAGATGCCGTCCTAGGAAGCCCCAAAGGCCTTCTGAGCTGGCCACTGCCTTCTAAGAAACCCCCCGCCTTCTTAGAAGGCCGCCACCCCCGCGCCACCCACTCGTGGGCGCCGCCGAGGTAGGGCAGAATCGTGGGAAAGCAGGCGAGGCAGGGCGCCCGTAAGCTCGTCCGGGAGGACGGTCCTGCGAAGGGGCCTGGGGGAGCGCCAGAGCGCCAAAGACGACAGTTCGATTGTGCCTGCTGGCAGCCATGTCCAACTGCGCAAGAAGGGGAGTAGAAGCGGAGGCGAGGGCACACGCTAAGCACGGATGGGGGAAGGCATCCCCCGAAGCATGAGGCCAGCGGCGCCTGACTTGGCGACAGACGCGCCGAGTTCACAGAAGGCGGGTCCCCGCGCTAATCCACACGCCTTCGTCCACGGTTGCGCTTCCTCGGTCGACTGTCCTCCCACCGCCTCCTTTGCTCCTCCTCCGCCCCCACTTCTGCCTCCTCCTGGTCAGTGCCGCGTTTTTCGTGGTGGTCTGCCTCCTCGCGAGTGGGCAGGAGGGGTGGGTGTGAGATGGGCAGGTGGCGACATCCGAACCCGAACCCCCAGCCGCCCATCGAGTTGCCTGAATACCGTTGATCGGCGAAAGTAAGGGGGTCGGCCTCCGCCGCCGAGCGGGCATGGGGCAGTGGGGGCGCGGGCGGAAGGGCCCAGACCTCCGACGCGGCGACGGTTGTCGCCGGCTCCAGCGCCGACCCCGTAAACCCAGCGGACACATCCGGGAAGAAACCCGCCTGAGCGACGACAGAAAAAAACGTCTCACGCGAGAAGACACAGCGACCTCACGCAGCGGCTCGCGCGGGCCGACGGCGTGGCACACAGCGCGGAGACGAGGGCGCTCACGCGCCACCTTGCGCGGGTAGCTTTACGCGCGAAGGTCGGCGCGGTCGACACCGTTTTTGTCAAGTGGCACGTCCCCCGGCACGAGCACCCTGCAGCTGGGGACACGTTCGAACAGACCACATACCCGTCGGTCGGAAGAGGTGGGCAGAACCTTGCAGTAGGAAGGCGCTGGAAGTAGGCTGGGGCCTCCTCCCGCCCTCGGAAGAGGAAGAGGGAAAAGCACTCGATCATTGAAGCAGGAGGAAGGCGCCTGAAGCAGGTGGGGATCCGAAAGCTCAAAAATAACCACTTCCAATGTGAGCCCCTGAGCACTCGATCATTGAAGCGGGAAGGCGCCGGAAGCAGACTGGGATCCGAAGGCTCAAAATACCTACTCTCAAAGGCGCGAGAAGCACCGTGGCCTCGACCTCCCGGGGAGGGCCCCCCGAAAACGGGGTCACCGCCTCCAGAGCAGCATCGCTTGAGGCGCACTGGCCCTGCTGCCCGGGGCAGGCTGTCCGTCCCGAGCTGCGTTTGGGTGGCCTTCCCGGCGCCCTGTCCAGGGGCCCCCGGAGGCCGACGAGTAGCGAGACCCCGACGGGAGATATGGGAAGGCAGCGGGGGAGGAGAGGCGAAGGCTGGGCGTCGCCCAGTGGGGGCGCGATAAATGGGGGGCTGGGGGGAAAGGTGCACTTTTCGGGCCCTGAAGGCCCCCTTTGGGGCCCTGAAAGGCCCTTTGAGGACCCCTTTTCTGCAGCCCTCGCTGCACCCCCACTTCTCGCCCCCCCATCACTCGACGCCCGAGAACGGGCGGAAGAGCGCCTGCAGGGTGGAGGTGGTGACGACGCCAGCGTTGGCCCCTGACACCACGAGGATCCTTCAACCTTGAACGATCGCAGCCTCCCGATGGCGCAGATCGTTCGATATCGGCCAATTCCGGGCCACCGGCGGCGTTCAACCTTGAACTCCCGCCCTTGCGTCGCCGCCTCCCCTGAGATTCCCGTGAGATCACCTGAGATCCATGTCACCCACGGAGCTCTCGACCGCGTCTTCCTGAGGCGTTTCTCAAGCCGGATCGACCTGCGATGGCCCCAGGTCCGGCACTGGGCGAAAATGCCTCGCGAGAAAGAAATACAGCGCCCAAATCTGATGTAGGGGCGTCAAATATGCCGTAACGCTGGTTCGCGGGGAAGGCGTCTGGACCTCTGGTGACCCGTGTCTTGAAGAAATACGACGGCGGAGGAGAGGGGAGGAAGAGGAGGAGGGAGGAGGGAGGAGGAGGGGAAGGGGGAGGAGGAGGAGGAGGAGGAGGAGGAGGAGGAGGAGGAGGAGGAGGAGGAGGAGGAGAAAGAGGAGGAGGAGGAGGAGGAAGCGTTGTGTCACAACTCTCATGCCCGCAGCGTACAGCAGACAGAATACAGGAGGAGAGGGAGGAGGAGGAAGAGGTTGAGCGAAAACAGAAGGAAGTCCAGCGGACGTAAGCGGGAAAGAGTAGCAGGAGGACACCGATAACACACCCACGCCGAACCTGGCCAGACTCATCTCGGCAAGCGTACCCTCCTGGTTCGGCATGGAAATCATATAGATATATATATATATACATACATACATACATATATAGATAGAGAGATAGATAAATATATATATATATAGATAGATAGATAGATAGATAGATAGATAGATAGATAGATAAATAGATAGATAGATACACCGATCCTGAAACCAGAATCGGCCTGGTCAGGAAAGGTGCAGGTGTACCGCTGGCGCCGCCCAGGGGGGGAGCAGTTCAGTGGGGACACCGACCTCGGTGAAGTGCTTGATCGCCTCCTCGAAATTTTTGGCCTCGGGGGGGAGGGAGGGGGCGCGGAGGCGGGCCACCGCCGTCGCCACAACCACCGCCACGCCCATCCTCGTATCTCGTCCCCGCGCCCGGCCTCGCCTCGCACCGCCCCCCTCGCCTCACCCGCGACTCGCCCCGCCAGTCCCGCCTCGCCTGTACTGCCCCCGCTCCTCCGACCCACCTTTTATCTTATGCTCTGTTCCACCGTGTTTCCATTCGTCCCTGGCGAGCCATCACCACACCCAGCGCTCCCGCGCGCGCGGAAGAGAGCGGGAGGATTGGCACCCCGCGTCTCTGGGGCGTGACTGCGCGCCGCCTGTTGGCGAAAGGGTGTATGGCGCTGCCGGGCGGGCCCAGTGAGCAGATGAAAACCTCCAGAACACGCCGAATGGCGGCAAAAAGGGAAGAGTGGAGGCCGCCATTCTGATGGGGGCTGTGCGTCAGCAATGCATCGGCGACACATCGGCGGCACGTCGGAGCTGCATCGGCGATGCTGGCGTGAAGAACATCGAGCGGCATCATCGATGCATCTGCGATGCGGCAAGATCATCCGACCCCATCTGCTCGGACTCAATTTGGTCGGCCTGGAAGAAAAAAACCTGGGGTACTTGGAAGCCAAGGCGGGCTGAAGAGGCCCTGTACGAATTATCCCCGCACACACACACACACACACACACACACAGACACACACACACACACACACACACACACACACACACACAGTCCTCGCTGCGGAAAGACATCAAGGCGGAACGCGATATCTTGCCAATGCTCAAGCTTCGGTACCCTGACCGGGCCCCGGGACTGCAAGAAGAAACGGACGACAAAAACAGCTGGCTCTACTCGAGGCGTGGCGATAACTCGAGGGCGGGCGGAAAAGGGTGAACCTTTCGTCTACCGTCTGGGCCCCAACGGGCCCCTTCAGGGCCCCTTTCCAGCAGCCCTCGATCCCCCCCCCCATGTCTCGCCCCCCCCTGACGGACCGCCACGAACAGTCCACGGTCCAGACCCTGGGGGGGCCCACCGCTGCGGGCAAAACCAAAACAGCACGTGCAGAAAAAACATAAGCAACAGCAAGAAAGAAAAAAAAAAAAAACAAAAAAAAAATCTGGGTTGCCCCCGCTGCTGGCCCCCTGGGGCCCCGCGCGGCGGGGAGCCCGCACCCTCGCTCTGGAACCACCCCGTGCCGCTGGCCTTGCGGATCTGCCCTCCTCCTTCCTCCCATCCCTCCTTGCCTCGCTGGTCAGTTCGTCGGCGGCGTTAGTCTTTCCCATTTGCCGACCTCCTCGTTATGTCATATGATTGATCATTGCTGTATGCATGCTCTTCTTCGCAATGTACTGTTCTTGCTCTTCGCATTCGTATATGTAGCAGCACTGATAATCCCAGTCGTGACATGATTTGTGGAAGTCTTGCTACCAAAAATCTCGCACTGCTTCGCATCATTACTATTACAGTTTAATTAACTGGTCTCCTGCTTCGGCTCTTGGCCGCTTCCAGCGAGGCGGCGAGGAGCATCCGAGCACGCGTCATGCGAAGCCGCGCGGCGCATCGGTGACTCGCCGCTTCGAACGGCTCGGCCGAACGCACGCAAGCGACGGCAGGTGGCCAACAGGGGAGTGGCGAGAAGGAGAAGCGAGCCACGAGGGCGCGCCAGTGGGCCGGGGTGGCAGCACTGAATTGCCAGGCATAGCCAAGAGAAGCACAGCCTGGCGCAATCGGGCAGCGACTCGACGGAGCACACCCTGGGGTGACTCCAGTAGCCACGTCAGACGCCAACACATCTACACTCACACACTTTTGAGCGTTCGCGGGCCGGGCACCAGGCCGAATAGAATTTGGGCGGGCGCCGCGCGCGCTGGCTAAGCAAGAAATGGTGGCTGGACTCACGGGGCAGTGGCGACGCCGTGGGGGCAGCGGCCGCGGCGAGGGCCGGCGGCGGGGGCGGGGGGGAGGCGGCAGCGGGCCGCGGGGGGGGGGCCGGTCCAGCGACGCGCCAGAGGGGCGCGGGGGGCAGCGGGGAGCAGCAGTGGCCAAACGGGCCGCAGCGGGGCAGAGCGTGCCGCCCCAGGCGAGGCCGTCAGGCGCGCCCAGGGGGGCCAGGCAGGGCGAGGGGGGCCCGGCGGCCAGAGCAGCGCAGTGCTGCTGCGAGCCAGGACGCCAGCGTCCCGACACCGGCGGCAGCCGGTGGGAACTGAGCGTCAAAGAAGACTCTGCCTGCAGCTGCCAGCCGGCAGTAGCAAGAGTGAGGTCACCAAGCGACAAACGGGCGCGCGTGGAGGGGGCAAGCGACTGCAGAGGCCGCACTGCCCGGGAGCGGGCCCACCACGCTCTGAGCTGCAGGGGAGCGAGCAGGGCGACACAGCAAGGACGTGCAGCCTCCCCCTCATCATCATCCTCATCCTCCACCTCATGCACTATTTCTTCGCATCAGTATTACTAGTAGTATGATTGTTGGTAATATTGTGAATATAAATACTAGTCGTGGTATTAGTAGTAGTTGTTGTTGTAGCAGTTGTAGTTTTCGTAGTAGTAGCAGTAGTAGTAGTAGTAGTAGTAGTAGTAGTAGTAGTAGTAGTAGTAGTAGTAGTAGTCGTAGTAGTAGTAGTAGTAGTCGTAGTAGTAGTAGTAGTAGTAGTAGTAGTAGTAGTAGTAGTATGAGGAGTATAGTATTAGGAGTAGTGTAGTAGTAGTAGTTTATATAGTGGTAGTAAGTAAGCAGCAGTAGTCTTAGTAGTGTAATTAGTGTGTAGTAGTAGGTAGTATAGTAGTATAATACTAGTAGTAGTAGTAGTAGTAGTAGTAGTAGTAGTAGTAGTAGTAGTAGTAGTAGTAGTCAGTAGTAGTAGTAGTAGTAGTAGTAGTAGTAGTAGTAGTAGTAGTAGTAGTAGTAGTAGTAGTAGTAGTAGTAGTAGTAGTAGTAGTAGTAGTAGTAGTAGTAGTAGTAGTAGTAGTAGTAGTAGTAGTAGTAGTAGTAGTAAGTAGTAAGTAGTAGTAGTAGTAGTAGTAGTAGTAGTAGTAGTAGTAGTAGTAGTAGTAGTAGTAGTAGTAGTAGTAGTACTGTCGGCGTGTGTGAGGGGCTTTTCCGTTCGAGCCGTCATCTCCGTCATTCTTTGTACTCGTCGTCTCTGTCCTTCCCTTTCCCTGGGAGACCTCTTCCCCTGGGTTTCAGCCAAGCCGACCTTGAGCAACCTCGTAATTGAGTCGAAGGGAAGCCCCTTCCCTTTGATCCCTCGCCCGCCGGGA